TTATGCTGTTGCCCCAGAGCTGGATCAGGACTTCAGGGGGGTCTCCCCAGCAAGCAGCAGAGGGGGAGAATCCCCTCCATCAACCTGCTGCTCGCACTATGGGGGTGCAGCGCATCACAAAGGGGAGGTTTCTGGGCTCAAGCGCACATAGATTGTTCATGTTTACTCCCAAATCCTTCTCCTGAGGGCTGCTCTCAATCCAGTCTCTGTAGTTGTGCTTGGGATTGCCCCAGTCAAACTCTTTCACCCCTGAAGACAAACCACAAAAGTAAGTGGCACACAGGGAGGCTTCAGGAGTGTGCTGAAATGTGGCTAATCACCACCATCAGGATGAGCACCAGCCTTTCTTTGCACCAGTTCCGGTGGTCATCAGAGAGTTTGCAGAAGTCTGGTCTTGTTACAGAGAAAAGTTCAAATTACTTTGTGCTGGATCAGTTTTCTTCTGTATTAGGGAGCTGAACTGCCTCGTTGGTAGCCTTTTGGAAAGCAGAGCCCATGAAGAACAGTGGTGGAAACAGAACTAGGACCATGGAGAAGGTTTGGAAAGGAGCGTGGGTGAGATATCTTCTCTTCAGTAGTGCTGTGTCCTTACATCAACTCAGTTGTCTCATCTGATTCAGATACTCTTTTCATTTCCATGCAGGTTGTTAGTGCCAGCAGATGGATAAAATATATGACATTTATCCACATCATCTGGAACTTCTGCAGTAAGATTTAAATGTGTGAGCCATTCCTTTCTTTCAGAACATGAGTCAGCTGAAGGCTTGACCTATCAATCTTTCTCAAGCGAGAGGGGAAAAAAAGCCTGCAGCCTTTTCTGGCTGTTGCATTCTCATTATGCAAAAGGGATGCTCCAGGTTTCTGTGTTTATGCTTTTTCATTGGTTTCTAAATTTTCATGAGGCAAAAAGTGCAGCGTTAGCTGCCTTACCAACTCAACTGGTGCTCAGAGAGCCCAGCTGTGTTTTCAGAGTCTTAACACCAGTAAAACAGCCTCTGTAATTGCAGATTAACTGGCAGGGCTCTCAACAATGCACAGAGCAGAACAGAACCCACCCTAGTTGCCATGGCTGTGTTTTCCCATTCAGCTAATAGAATTTAAGAAATTACTTTTTCCAGTTAATTCAGAGTTCTGACCTATACACAGAGAAAAAACTAGTTTCTATATAACATGAAGAAGCACTTTTTACACAGCAGATGCCAGTATCAGGTAATTTAGGGGCAGGGTTATCTCTGTACACAGGCAAAATAACTCCTACCTAGGGCAGCAGAACATCAGGGCAGCAAAAAGGCCAGAGCCACACTGAAAATGCTGCAGCTCTAAGAAGTCAGACTCGTAGCTGCTCCACTGAGCAATGGGAGAGGTTTGAGGGCAATATGTACTGCCCGAGGAGAAGACCTCTCCAGCCTTTACCATGCTGCCTGCAGCAGTGGGAACAAGAAGTTTAGTTTTTCAGGGCTCTGCTCCTTGTTCTGTCTGCCTATTAGCTCTCTAGTTCAAGTATCCTCCTTTATTGGCCCCTTCATCTTTAGGATGGCAAAATCCAGCGTTACCTACACCACTGAGAAACCCTGAGCTAACTCTAAGTCTCTTTAAACCACCTCTAGTTCCTATATTTGTCTTATGTTCTCTTGGAGAAAAAAGTACTGGGTTATGTGGACCAGCTGACTGCCAGAACCATCACCAGAAGGATGCAAGAGGGTGGAGGTCCTGTTTTATATAGAATCCCTGTGGCATATTGAGAAATAAAAATGCCAGGGGAGATTGTCTTGTTAGACCTGTTACCAACAAGAAAGAACTGGTCAAAGATGTGAAAGTGTAGTCTTGGCTGCAGCAAACACAAGACTGTAGAATTGAAAATCTTGAGAGAAATGGGTAAAAGATGCAGTAGAATTACAACTCTGGGCTTCAGAGAAGCAGATTTTGGCTTACTTGGGGATCTTCTTGACAGGATCCAATGGGATACTGCCCTGAAGGTCAGTGGGACTCAGGGCAACAGGTTGATCCTCAAGGAGAATCTCCTGTAAGAAAAAGAGTAGTCTGTTCTGATGTGCAGAAAATCAAGCAAGTGTGGCAGGAGGCCAGTATGGATGTACAAGGGACTCCCAGCTGAGCTCCAACACGAAAAGGAAGTGTACAGCAAGCAGAAGCACAGATGGGCTGCCCAGGAGGAATACAGACATTGCTCGAGCATGCAGGGCTGGTGTTAGGAAAGCCAAAGCTCAGCTGGAGTTGAAACCAGACAGGGAGGTGAAGGTTAAGAGAAAAGGCTTCTACAGGTACAGCTGCAGCTAAAGGAAGGCTGAGGAAAATAACGTGCCCGCTGCTCCACGGAGCAGATGACACAGTGACAAAGGACATGGGAAAGGCTGAGGTACTCAGTAGTCTCTTTGCCACGGTTTTCACTGATACAGTCTGCCCTTAGGCCTCCCGGTTCCCCAACCTAGTAGCAGTGTGCAGGACTGAAGCAGTACCCAGCAGAGCAGTTAGGAAGCACTGAAGCCAAAGGGACATGCACAAGTCCACAATGCCAGATGGGATGCAATTGGATGGAGGAAGTGGCCAAGCCCACTTTCCCTCATCTTTGAAAGGTTATGGTGATCTGAGGAGGCAAGTGATGACTGGAGATGATTAAAGATTACACCTGTCTTCAAGGAGGACAAGGAGAAAGATCCAGGTAATGTCTGCCTAACCTTAGGCCCTGGGAAGGTGATGGAGCAAATCCTCCTGGAACTCATGTCCAAGCACATGAAGACAGGTAATTCCAGCATGCATTTACCAGGTCAAACTGATGGTTTGATCATAGCAGCCTTCCAGTATCTAAAGGGGGCCTACAAGGATGCCGGAGAAGGACTCTTTGTCAGGGACTGTAGTGACAGGACAAGGGGTGATGGGTCTAAACTAAAACAGGCTGAGTTCAGGTTAGATATAAAGAAGAAGTTCTTTACCGTGAGGGTGATGAGGCGCTGACACAGGGTGCCCAAAGAAGTAGTAAATGCTCCATCCCTGGCAATGTTCAAGGCCAGGTTGGACAGAGCCTTGGTCAACATGGTCCGGTGTGAGGTGTCCCTGCCCATGGCAGGGGGCTGGAATTAGATGATCTTAAGATCCTTTCTAACCCAAACATTCTGTGATTCTATGATTGTCATCAGGCGAAGGAAGTCCTCTAGCATCCAGAAGATGGGAGAAGGCATACACCAATCTGGGCCTGGGAAGTTGGTGATGGACACAGAACTGGTTGATGCTGGTGCACGCATGAAGCCCAGGCTAGCTGAGGCTTTTGCTTTCTGTCTGTTCTGGATGAGCCAGTGAAACATGGTGGATGTGGATGTGTCTCTGGCCATCTGGAGGGTGTGAGCTGGCAGCTGCAGAATGGAGGGGAGCTGTCTTCAGTAGCTCAAGGGCACCAGTGGGGAGAAGTTAGGAGCTCTCACCACTGAAAACATGGTGCCTGCCCTTCTTTCAGCACAGTCTAATGTAGTCAGCCTAAAAACATCCTGTCCAGCTTCAAAAACAAGCCTGTGTAATTCCCCGCAAACATTCATATCACAACCTCGATCTTGCAGCAGACCCAGGCAGAGCTTTTATTAATTGTAAGCTACAACCTTTTGCTACATATTATGCAATGCTTCACTGGAGCCTTCAGTTCTGCAGAGAAAGAAAAAGGACTTTTTATTGCTAAAACCACTACAATACAGGCACCATTATAAGTGTATCTCTTCCCCTTTATCTCAGCAGCTTATGCGAGATTAAATTTTACATACAGGGCATGGTTCTCTCTGCCACTGCCCTCAAAGCTATTGCTTTTTAGGGCTGGAATGACTCCCGAGGGGAGGAAAGGCTTGTTTCTGCCCCGAAGAGCAGATAAGGCACTGTGCCTGTGGGCAGATTACTCTTCTCCTTTGGTAGTTTCTTTAATAGTCATAATTATGACGAATTTAGGACCTGTGGGTTCTGAAATAAGTAAATAAAACCCTGGCAACTGCAGTTATTTCATTTAGAACTGTAGTAGGAACTTGCCAGGGAGTACAGGAGCAGGGCAGAGACTTCTCCAGAAACACCATTTTCACAGACTCACACAGAACCGTTAGGGTTGGAAGGGTTGAACTGTAGGAGATCCTATAGTCCAAACCCCTTCCAAGGCAGGGGCAGCCAGAGCAGGTTACACAGGAATGTGTCCCGGTGGGGTTTGAATGTCCTCAGAGAGGGAGACTCCACAACCCCCTGGGCAGCCTGTTCCATTGCTCTACCACCCTCAACATAAAGTTCTTCCTCACATTGAGGTGAAACTTGTGGTTTGCTCCTTGTGCTGTCACTGGGCACCACTGAAGAATCTGGCACCATCCTAGCACCAACCTTTGAGGTATTTATATGCATTACTGAGATCCCCTCTTAGTCTCCTGTTCTCCAGACTAAATAGACCTAGCTCCCCCAATCTCTCCTCCTAAGAGAGATGCACCAGACCCCTGATCATCCTTGTGGCCTCTGCTGGACCCTCTCCAGTACCTTCTTGTCTTTCTTGTATGGAGAAGCCCAGAATCGGGCACAGCACTCCCGATGTGGCCTTACCAGGATAAGAGTTGAGGGGAAGCATCACCTCTCTTGCCCTCTGGCCACACTCCTCCTGAAGCAGACTAAAGGACTTCTGTAGAGCAAGAGAGAGCAAAACTGAGACCGCTTTAGACATGAAAAACAGAACTCGACACCGTGCGAATATGGCTTGAGGGACCGTTAGCACCTGTAACGATGGGGACTGCTTGTTTCTACCTCAGCCGCCGCTGACTCGCTACAAACAGCGATATAAAGTGCCATTAAGTTCCTATGCAGTTAAAACCGGGTTAATTTAACTCTCGGGCGCGCTCCGTCCCCTCAGCGAGCGGCCCCTGAGGCGCCGCGGCGGGAAACGCGCTTTTTCAGCAGTGTGGCAGCTCTCCATTGCCCTGCTAGCTAACCGGGCGCGGGGTTACTTTACGGCAAGGCTTTTCCGACCTCCCCGTCCGCGCTTTGCGGCTGCGTGGCAGGGCCGGGGGGCGGGGAAGATGTCTGAGCGGGGAGAAGCCCCGGCGGCGGTGGCAGCGGCGGGAGCGGGGGGTGAGATGCCGGCCAAGAAGCAGAAGCTGAGCAGCGACGAGAACAGTAACCCCGGGGACCTGTCCGGCGACGAGAACGTGAGGCCGGGGCGGGGGACAGGCGGATGGGGCGCGGAGGAGGGGCGCTGAGGCGGGAGCGGGGCCTCGCTGCCGGGGGCGGGCGGGAACGCTGAGGCGAGGAGTGTGTGTGGGGGGGGCCGGCCCGGGGGGAGCCGCTGTGAGGGGAGCGGCGGGAGCGGCCGCTTCGGGTGTCCTGAGGGACCCGGCAGACCCTGCCCGGGTCTCGCATCCCGGGTGGGAGACGGGAGAAGGGAGAGAAGAGAGGGGGGTGTCAGCCCGTCCGCCCCGTCTCTGTGTCCACCCCGTCTCGGTGCCTGCCCCTGAAAGAGACGGGCCGCTGTAGGGAGAGAGGGAGGCCCCGGTGGGAGAGGGACCCGTGTGAGTCTTGGAGGAGAGACGCTCACTTTGCCTCCACGTGGGTGAGGGAGAATTTGAGGCCCGAACTCCAAGCGTGCTCTGTCTCCAAGTCTCTTTCAAGATGCCAGATTTGCAAACCGGCAAGGTTTTATGTCTGTCCGGAAGTTTTATTTGTGTGTGTGTTCACCGTCACGTTGCAGCATAAGTTGATCTGTGGGCCTGAGGATTAGGGTCGTGCTCGAGCTTCTGTCAGCAGAAAGCTGCATCAGGGCATGAGGAGGGTAATCTCTAAGTTTGGCTAAAATCTAGTGTGGGAACAAAGGTAACGTGATTGATACAGAATAACTTTATACTTGAACGATAACGCAAGGTATCTAGCAGTCACTTTATGTAGCTACTGGAGTGGGGGTGATGTTTGTGTGTTAGCTTCATGCAGTGTGGGTTTATTCCTTTATCCAGAATGTGAAGGATCTGGACCACATCCCTGATGTCCTGTGGAAGTGCTGCTTGTGAGGTGACGGGCAGGTTCAAGGTGTTCTGCACCACTGCTCTGCGGCATTTCTGTATTATGTGTAGTTCGGTGACGGGCATTCCGGTTTGCTTTGGTGCCTGTGTTAGGCTGTCAGTGACCACGGATGGGGGCTGTCTGGTTGTTGAAAGTGTGACCTGTATCAGTGGTTAAAGGATTTCCTTTTCAAGGCTTGTTACTGGATTCCACTGCTCCTGAAAGACAGCAATTCTATTTAGGAGTTGGCAGAATAGTGTTGATTTGGAGAGGGGGTCTGTTTTGTTCCACAGGTTTCCTGGGTGCAAGTTTGTGGTTATGTTGTAGTTGTATTGTAGCAGGTACCTGCTGTTCTTCTATTGACAATATCTGACTAGTCCAGGGAAAACTTCAGTCTTGTGAAGCATTACAACTCTGGCTAGCAAGTGCTCTTGGGAGACGAGGATTTGGCAAGCTCTGACATTGTTTTAGAGTACAGGAGAAGAAACTGGAAAATGTAAAACTTGTTCAACTCGGTTACATGTGTTAGGAGAGGGTTTGCTCTTTTAGGAGTGCAAAGTGAAGGGAATGATTCCACGTCTGGGTAGTTTGCTTACAGGCTTGTGTGTTGTATTGCCTCCTTTTTCTCCCCTCAGTGTCCTGATTTTCAGGGTTGTTGGTCAAACAAAGACCAGTGCACATTTACTTGCTTCTGTTGATATGATATGAAACTAGGACACAGAATAAATGTTTGATGGGATTTGGTGTATCAATGTTTAGAGCTGACCTTATTCCATATTCCTAGTGGAGTTCCTAATGCAGCTTCATGCTTAACCTCCAGTGACAGGCTGTTGTCTGCCTCTGCCTACCTCAGTTCAGATCCAGAAATTCCAAAGCCTTGGGATGAGTTGTTCCCCTTCCACTGCTCTGATGGGAATTGAACAGACTGCATTGCCAGGATATAAATAAAGGTTGATTTTTAGATTTTTAAGTATATTTAAGATGAAGGTAATCCTATGGAAGCACAGGGTTGCCAGTTACATTGCAGGTGAAGCTGAAGTGTGCTGTGGTGAGCAATGCAAGGAACAGAAATGTCCTTTTGAGAAGTGACCTGCAGTCACACTATGTGTGAAACTGAAGTTTCTGTGAATTATCTAAAGCTGATCTAAAACTGCTCACCAGCTGGCTGGCTTGTTTTGCTCACCCCCTTCTTCCATCCTTACCTTAGGTGTGACTGCTGATGGTTGGAGGCCAGTTGGATTAGCTACCTGGTCAGGTAGCCAGCTAACTTAATTTTTGGCTTTGTGGTTTGGTTTTTTACCTTAGCTTTTAGTTGAAGCAAGTATCTGTAGGAAAGAGTAGGAGGGAGAGGTGGGACTTCCTCTTCTAGTGGCAGTGCTGACTTACTGCAGAACTGCTGTGCCTGATGCTGCTTGGGGTGTACAGAAGTCTTAGGTTAGATTCTTGGTATGGCAAAGCATAATGTTTTTACACAACCAACCTCTTCCTTCAGTACTCATTCCATGAACGTCAAAGCTGTTTTTTAGTGACCATTTCAGCATTTTCTTAAGCGCAACTACCAGTATTCTGATGAAACGTCACTAGATCACAGTTCACATCTCTCCCTCTGGGATTAGTCCTCATGTGACTTATGTTCTGTTTCTAGGGAGGAATGCTATGATGTTAGTGATAGATTTAAATATGTGAACCTAAATAACATCAAGTCCTAGAAGATCTGTTCCTACAGAGGAGAAGAGGAAGTGGAAAGGCCAAGTGCTGCAAAATGAGTTGAAATTATACAGCAGTTAATGAAACCTTTATTACATTTTATATAATTTGAATATTTTCAGGATGATGCTGTTAGTATTGAAAGTGGTACTAACACCGAACGCCCCGATACACCAACAAACACTCCTAATGCACCCGGAAGGAAAAGCTGGGGGAAAGGAAAATGGAAGTCGAAGAAGTGTAAATATTCCTTCAAATGTGTAAATAGCCTGAAGGTAGGTATGTGTAAGCTTCCTACCATCCCTACCAGTATGGGAATGCTGGCAGTAATGCTAGTGTTGACTGTGAGACAGTGCCAAGATAGGTATTTTTGAGTATCTGTATACAACTTTGCTCATTTGAAGAAAATACCTTTCTTATTTGGCATAGCTGAAGTTTGGAAAAAAAAAGGATACTGAGAAATAGGAAACAGCAGATAGTGCTGCTATTAACCCAGTTTCTGCACAGGTTTGCAAAGTTCTGTGTGATCTAATGAGGTATTTCACTGAAGATGTAGTTGCTTAAGATAAAAACCTGAATAAAGAAATTCAAATAAAACCAAACCTGTGACAGCTTGATGCAAAGCACCTACAGATTTTTCTACCTGTTGAAATGTATTTAAAACAACCCAACAATCTGGGAGTAGAATTTTCCTCACACTTACCAGGTGGTTTCTGTCCTTCGGCAATTGTCATATAGTGCAATTTGATTAATTTATCATGAGTGTTGTGATTGTGCTTGCACCTCATCTAGGTCATATTTATCTTCCCACCTAATACCTGATGCTATAAAGGGATGTAGATTCACTGTCTTTACTCCCTGCTCTTGTATTTTAGGGTAGCATTGTTCTCTTCTGCACTAGTAACAGACTGTGGTGGATTGAATGGATTTTCTCTTTGATTCTTTTACACTGTCAGGATGTTGTTTTTACATCCCCAGGCCTTGTGTGGGATATTTATGTGGCAAAAGATGTAAATATGCCGTCTGACTTGAGTTTTACAAGATCTCTAAATAAAGGAAAGATTGTGTCTGGAACAAGATGGGAGTTCAGTTAAATTTTATATTTAGCTAACCAGAGGATGTGTGCAGCTCCAGAGTGGATACTTTATGCAGAATTGCTTTAAGAGGGTTTTGCTGTTCCCCTCCAGTTGATTGTTGAGCTGTGCCGTGAACTTTGGCTTCAGGTTGCCTGGACGAAATGCTGGGGTAGCTGAGTGGGAGGGGATGAGAGCTTTGGAGCATGGAAACCTCCTAAATGAGATTTGTCACTGCAGAAATTGGGATACGAAGTTACGCTGACAAAAGTTTCTGGGAAACAAGTTGATCTTAATGTATTTTTTTGAAGTAGAAAAGTTATCTGGAGCCCTTTCAGGGTGTAGGAGCACGGAAGTTCTTTCGTTTTCACCTAAGTAGGCAGCTGCTCCTGTGACTGCATGAATCGCCCCCACAGATAATGCTTTTTGTGGGTGGCTTCAAGTCATACTTCAAACACAGTCAGGGGCCTTTCAGCACCCAAACATTCAACAAGTTCTGCCTTTTGCTGAGCCTATTCGTTTTCTGTCTGCAGACCAAACATCCCAAAGCAGTTAGGACTTTTCAAGTACCTTCTGGGGAAACAGAACATTCCCTCACCCCAGCTTCCACCCAGACCCCACTATAGGGTGACCCAAAAGAATGCCCTGTGAAGTTAAGCAATCCCCGACTTGTGTGGATTTGGATCCGGGCCTGGGAACAGATTCTTGTGCAAGTGGAATCAAGCTGTGAGGGAATAAATATAGTGTTTCAGCTAAGTGGGGTAGTTTCTTTTCTGTGTTTCTCTTTGAGCTGAAATTAATGCTCATAATAATAAATGTGCATGTTAATACAAAGCCTAGGTAGAGCCAAATTGGGTAACTCCTTTTTACTTCATGTTTGAGGAAGCCTCAGTTCTTTTCTTTTTTCCATTTTGTTGCTTACTAATTTTGCAGGTACTGTGAAGATAAACTCTAAGGATTGAATGTTGTGTATGGGGTCAGAAGGACTCTTCGGATATTGCATCATATATCCCATAGTTTCTATCTCTTTGAGCTATGCTGTAAAGTGCATGTACTGAAATTAATGAAGAGTCAACATTATTTAAAGACATGGAAATCAATTTTAATATTAAAATTCTTTAGGGATATATAAATTATGTGTTTTTCCACTTTTCTACTCTTGTTTTTCCCCTCTTATGTTGCTTTTACTTTTTTTTTTTTTCCCTTGGGGAAACAAAGAAATATGGCCATTACCATCTGCTTTGAATGTTAAATGGTTATGATTCAGCTTGAAAAACTCAGTGCTTGCTAAATACGCTTTTTAAACACTACTGTGCAAGTTATTTTGGGTGAAATTTAAGCATCAGGAAAACAAGAATATAACTTGGAAAATGACAGGAAATAAAAAGCTGCCTGTGTTTCTTTGCTTTTTGCAGCATAAAGTTCCTGTAAGGTATATTGAGAAATCTTTGCTGTCTGTGGGCTGAATGGAAATGTAGTTTATAAATGAGCATATGCAGCCAAGAGTTGCACATCGTTACATACATCCATAGATGTTTTGGTCATAGATCTTTCAGCAAAGAGCTGTGTCTATTCGGCTTTGATGTATTCCCTTTAAAGCATTGCAGCTACCTTCCATGTGCTCTTGCTTAGGCTGTGCCTCAGTGGTTGTCAGCAGCCTGGTGTTGTCTCTTCAGCTTCTACTCACTGTCCCCTGAGCTGGGAGTCAGTAACCAACCACATGCAAGACTTTAGCTTGTTGATACGTAAAGGAGAGCGAACTAAACCCACTGCCAGTAATGGCTTGTTACCACTTCTGGGAACTGAAAATGCATGGTCACTTGGTTCCCCACTGGCAGCATGGGTGACAGTGTATAAAATGTGTTTGTTTAGTTACAGGTGATAATTTTTTGTGTTGGCATAATATTTACTTGACTTGCCTTCAGTCTAAAAACAGGTCTTATTTTCTGGCTGAGTTGGCATTGGGGTGAGGAAAGACAGAACTGACCATTTATTATTTATTTGGTTTTGTGACAATTGTAAGTCTATTTTCTCCTCTGCCTTCTTTTTCTGTGGTATCAAGAACCTGAGTACTTCGGCTATTGTGCCCTTTATTCATACCAGGGTCAAGATGGCATTGCACAATTCTGCTTTTGAACCAGCATCTGGGTCACTCTTCTGTCTGTACAAACCAGTGGTCGGATTTGTGTGACATACTTGGCAGATCAGGGTGGCCATAATGTGCAGTACCTAAAAGTGCAATGTTTGAAAACCTGCTTCAATGTTTAGCACCTGGGACAAGAATTAGAGCAGATGAGTGTTATCAAAGTAGCTGTGTGCTGTCTTTGACCAGTGAGGATGATGGTAGTTTAAAGGAGGTGAGCACAACTTCTTCAGATACCCCAGTGACCCTGCACGAGCCTCTGCCTGACTCCTTCGGCCATTAAACACCAAAAAACCCTTGGAGATATATGGTCAAGCTTCTGGAGGTTGTAGCACTGGATGTGAGGAATGTAGTGCTGAAGATGTCTTTAGACTACTTACATTTGTCTTGCAGAGTAATCTTGCCAGGGAAATAGGTTGTCTTTGAAAAAGCTTACTAAATACTTATGGCACGTACTCAAACATAGAAACAATAGAGACCTCGGTTGTATATATCTCTTATCACCCTAGTCTGGGTCCTACCTAGAAAATCACAAACTTATCACAGCTTGTGCTGGAAAAGTGTCTTATCCTGAGGGAGAAAACATCTTCCTCTTCACTCTTCCCATTTCATTAAATTTATCAGAAACGGTGCACGTGCCAGAGAACAAGGTTGTTCCAGAAAAACAAGTGCAGAACCTGCTAATACATCTCTAAAAAAGCAGTAAGAATCTGTGCCTTGCACCTGTGTTCTCTTCATGCAGCGTATCCAAAGCCCTCAGTATTCATCAGAGTGAACTTTATCACTCAGAAATTCAAAAACAATGAATTCTTAGTGGGAGATATTTTACAGTATTCTGTATTTGACCTCTCAGCTGTTCTCTTCAAGGAAAACTTAAGTACACTTAAAAAATAAGGCTAAAAAGTAAAACGTGTAACTTTATTAAACACTAAAAATCATGTGTGTGTAATTTTATGGCATACCATTTTCCTCATTTTTCATCTCTAATTAAGCTATAATGCTTTCCAGATGCTCAATACCTGCTTTTTCCTTCTGTCCTGGGGTCACTCATAAGCTTGCTACGTCTCCCTTTGCTAATATCCCATATCCCTCATCCCCTACAGCCATTAGTCTGTTCTTTCCCCATGTTCTGATAGGTAACACTTTGAGTTAAACTTTGAGCAATTCTTTTTAGCTTGTATTCAGCTTACAAAGTTGTTACCTCTCTTTGGTGTTTGCAGGACAGACTTCATTTCTGACAAATTTTCTCCCTTCTCTTTCTAGCCCTTCTAGCTATTTCTGTTCATAACAGATAATGCGTTTCTCAGTAAATAATGCTATTTTAAATTCTTCCAGACTTCCTAACTTTTCCTGAGTACTGTTGGACTCCTTCCCCATACCCCCCTTCTCAGATTCACTCTTTGGGTCTGGGCTAGGCCGGAGCTGCCAGGGCTGACATTCCTGGGGGTGTCTCCGAAGCACTGCCATTTGAAGGCTGTTGTGAGACACTTCCTTCCTGCCTGCACTGTCCCAGACAGTCCCCTGTGGGGAGGCACTTTAGTGAGCATTATTCTTACTGAAAACATCCTGTCAGGACAGGCCAAAATACTGTTATCAATTATTAACAAGCACCACCACATTCATCGCAATTCATAAACATATCTGCTGCTTTTTTCTCTATTAAACTGATGTAAGCTGTATAAAAATAAGATCTGGCATTTCTCTGGTGTTTGTGAAGGTAATCTGAAAACACTTTGTAGACGTGAACTTTGCAGCAGCATTGTGACATGCTGGAGAGAGTTCACGGTGTCTGTGACAGAGTTGCAAGACCTGTGTTGTAATAGTTAATGTAGCCCTTCTCCACCCTTACACCAGTATAAGTCTTCTTTGTCCTTATGATTTTCCTCTGTGAAGTTATAAATCTTTTGTGTGGAAGTAATTCAAACAGTATAAAATACGTATAGATGTGGCCTTAGATGCAGAGGTTGCCGTGTTGAAAATTGCAAAACAAAGTAGTAGAACTGCAAATATAGCTCGGGAATTCTGCCAGCTTCTGGCTGTAACAGCTTCTGAGACATAACAGTTTTCACCCTTTTAAAAGCTTGCTGGGGGAAGAAAGGGAGGGGGTGTCAGAATATTCCTTTAACCTCCTTTAAGACACCCAACTTAAAATGTGATGTTACAAAACTGCTCCTTTTAACTCTTCTCTATCTGAAATTATATTGAACATGAACCCAGTAGTTTGAGGAGGAAAACATCTCAGTTAAACTGTTTTACCACCACAGCTGAATTTCACGGAAGTAATAATAACATGGTGGCTCTTGTTTTATCTTTTTTGGTCTCTCATCTTACTTTACCTCTCCAGGAGGACCACGGGCAGCCTTTGTTTGGAGTCCAGTTTAACTGGCACAGTAAAGAAGGTGATCCTCTTGTTTTTGCTACTGTAGGCAGCAACAGAGTGAGTATAATTGTTTTTAACCATCAGCTCTTCCACTTGGTTCTGCTTGCATGCTTTTTTCTCCAACCAATCCCTTTGCCTGTGGTTAGTATGGATGGGGAGGATACTTCATAGAGAAGCTTTATTTCTGAGGTATGTAACATCTGGGAAAGTTGCATCCTCTGAATTGTTTCATGAAGTTGTGTGTTAGCTATTTGGGAATTAGCCTATGCAGTAAAGAAAAAAATCCTTCAGGAATATAAACATGGGATAAGGAGACAAGAGACATAAATGCATCTTCTCACTAAAATTACTTTTCACAGATGTTATTGTTTCCAGAGGGTCATATACTCTAAAATGGGATGAGAAGTGTCCGCAATGATGCCAGGCAGCTCAGTAGCTAAATTAAGGTCCTATGTGGAGTGAACTTACAGGTTTTTTCTCAACAAGGATTTATGTCATTTCAGACTTGAAAACAACTCCTGAAATGTATTCTATGCCAGTGTTATATATGAATAAGCAAGCAGCCTTTCATTTCCAGGTTTGTTTCAATTGTCAGTCACCAAAAGTGCTAAACTAAGATGGAACAAGGTATCAGTGCTTTGTTAAAAGACCAAGTCATGTTAGAGACGGCTGCAGTAGCTAATTTCAAACAGAGTTTAATCATACTTAGACAGTTCAAATCATAGATTTGCATACCTGGGAAGAACAGCTGAGAAGGCCTGGAGTGGTGCTTTATTGTGACTGCCCTCAGCATTCTTTTATCAAACCATTTCCACCTGTTGGAAACAAATGGAAGATGGATGAGATTTAAACCATAAAGGCACACTACCCGTCCCTATCAGCAGTCAGTGCACAGGTACTTTTCCTTTTGACATGCCACAAGTAAGCAGCAATCTCTCCACTTGTTTTTTTTCTTCCAGGTTACTTTATATGAGTGTCATTCCCAAGGAGAGATCCGCCTGTTGCAGTCCTACGTGGATGCTGATGTATCCTCTTAAAAAGCCACTTGTTTGCTTTCTCTTTATCAAAAATGAAGAGGCTTTGTAGGAAAAAAGCATAAAAAGGTTTGGTCTGTGATTTAATACTTTGCTCATGGGGCACATTCCGTACGTCAGGTCCAAGTGTTACATCTTTCCCACATCCTAGACTCTCCTATTAAAAACATATTAAAAACACACATTCATGGCCAGTGCTGTATTAAAATATTTGAAAACTGATTCTCCATCAGTTTCATCTTCCCAACACTAATATTTGTCTAATGTTTCACATCCACTGCTTTACAGTGGTCTCAGTTTCCCTGTCAATTGGAGCTGGGTTTAAAGCTAAGAATTAATGTTTCGTGCTCAGAAGTGTGAATAATTTGTGTTGTTCATTTGCAGTGTACAAGCCAACAGCTTGTGAACTCAAGTCTTGATTCATTATTCCTGATCTTTGGCTGTTTTGGACAAATAGGTTGAAAAATGGTGCCAACAGAGAATTCCTTGTATGTTATGGAACAGAAGTGAAACAACTGGCATCTGTACAACAGGCAACGTTGCTTGTGTTTGCAGATATAGAAATGAATCATAGAAACACAGAATGGTTTGGGTTGGAAAGGACCTTAAGATCATCTAGTTCCAACCCTCCTGCCACAGGCAGGGACACCTCACACTAGAAAACGTTGCCCAAGGCTCTGTCCAACCTGGCCTTGAACGCTGCCAGGGATGGAGCATTTACCACTTCTTTGGGCAACCCATTCCAGTGCCTCACCACACTTACAATAAAGAAATTCCTCCTTATATGCAGTCTAAACTTCCCCTGTTTAAGTTTTAACCCATTACCCCTGTCACTACAGTCCCTAACGAATAGTCCATCCGCAGCATCCTTGTAGCCCCCCTTCAGATACTGGAAGGCTGCTATGAGGTCTCCATGCAGCCTTCTCTTCTCCAGGCTGAACAGCCACATCTTTCTCAGCCTGTCTCCATACAGGAGATGCTCCAGTCTCCTTATCATCCTCGTGGCCTCCTTTGGACTTGCTCCAACAGTTCCATGTCCCTATTGTATGTGTCTATTCCTTATTGGGTCCAGCAGAGACTCCTGAGCACTTGCATAAAATATCAACAAGTTTACTTAAAAATCACATTTAAATAAATACACAAATAAATAAATAAATAAGAATCTCCTGTTTCTTCTGTGTTCCTTAACATAAGATGTTGTAGGCAGATGAAAACTTCTATACCTGTGCGTGGACATACGACAGCAATACAAGCCATCCTCTCCTGGCTGTGGCAGGCTCCAGGGGAATTATTAGGATAATTAATCCTATTACGATGCAGTGCATAAAGGTGAGTGCTCAGAACTTGAGATACAGCTTATTTCAGTAAGGCATGAAATTTATATCTTTATATACATACGAGCATGAGGGGAAATGATAACTTGGTCTCTGAATTCTATCCCAGCACTACGTGGGCCATGGGAATGCTATCAATGAACTGAAATTCCATCCAAGAGATCCAAATCTCCTTTTATCTGTAAGCAAAGGTGAGGAAAAAACCCCTCTTTTGTTTTTTGTATAAGTCAGGATACTTTGGATTCTGGTCTTGAAAATGGCCAAAACCTCCATAATTTTTTTTTATGAATGGCACTGAACAAGTTTACCTTAAAAGCTGAGAGCAAATCTTGCTCTTTTATGGCTGTATATCTTGTGTGGATTAAATCCATGGCCTGCAACAAGCGTAACTCCACCTGTGGTGCAAAGGGATTGTGAACAGTGCTGCTTTTAGGAATGAAGAAATGAGCTTTGGGGTTGCACTTTACTTTCTACAAGCAGTTAAATGTTTGTCAGTTGTTGAATCCTGTTGCCATCTAGTGGGGAATTCTTAACATCGCAGGCAGCATTTGCTGGTTTTGTGGGGAAAACTTCCATTCTCCGTGGCTCTGACTTTATTTGGACTTTGTATAAAAAGCCTGTTAGTGAAGGGAGAAGTGAGATTTTGGTATGGTGCCTTACGGGCTTGTTCAGAACATCTAACCAGTTGACTGTTTTGTTAAATATGGGAATACTTGATCTGCTGCAGGAGCAAGCCTTCAGGTGTGCTTGAGTTGGAAACCTTCACATAAGGGGACTTTTGACTTTAGCATATTTAGGTGATGAATCTACATGAGAATAAGAGTTGCAGCCTCTCTGATTCTTGCAGCTGTCAAGTTTGTACTGTGGGTCTGTAAAGCTGAAATTCTTGAGTTCTGTGCATTTTTTTTTTAGGTTCTTTTTTTTAATCACATCTTGATATCAGCCATAGTACCATAGGTTTTAAGGTGCAACCTCTGGACTAGGTGCTATCTCTGAGAAGGCAGCAGAATACTGGGGTCTCAGAATTGCTTGGCTGAGAGATGTGTAGAAAAAGAGGAAAGCATTTGGGACTGTGTGGCCTTCCAGTTGGTGCTGCTCTAATTCAGTGCAGTGTATTTGTGGAATCCAAAGGGGAGATATGCTAGAGCTTCCCATTTCCAAATGGGAAATATAGTAGAGGTTCTTCATTAGATATTGTTAAAACTTTCTTTTAACAAGAGGATTAGTTTGATTGACTTTGGAATACATCTTGTTTCTAGAAACACTTTTTCCCATCCATGCAGGCTGTGGTTCAGAAAGAATAATATTGTAAAGGTTAACAAATGGAAAATCAAAACATCTCTGTAAGAATTGCTGAAAGGAATTCCAGCATTTTTTGATACATAAAATTGTTTCTGAGATCAGAATAAAACCATATATGTCCAAGATCAGACTCTGCTTTTTGGATGAGCTAAAGAGCCAAGTCTCTTTCTGCTAGAAGCTGTCCCCAGGGATGGGGGGGTGGTCAGATTTTCTTCACTACAGTATTACTTTTAACAGGAGTTTAGTTGTAACAGCAATTTTAGTTAATGCAGTCCTATGACTTCTACCAAGTGAAGAATTAATTGCCTTCTTGATGTTTACATGAACCCCTGTTATTGAAAGTGGTTTAAGCTGAAATATATTATTCATATGTACCTATAAAAAAAAGCAGCATGTAATTTTATTTGTTCTTTATAGATCATGCATTGAGACTGTGGAACATCCAGACAGACACGCTGGTTGCAATATTTGGAGGAGTAGAAGGGCACAGGGATGAGGTGTTAAGTGCAGTAAGTGGAAGACTGTGGGGCAGTGATTTAGATTTACAAAGGGTAGTAAGCCTACAGTATGCAACTTTTTATCCTCTTGTGCACTGGTTTGATATTATACCTACTTAAAACCCCCGGAAGTGCATAAATACTCTTTTAAGGGGATAGAGAACTTTAAATCTGAGGTGATTGCTTGATCTGGCTACCTCTCAATATACAGGACAAGGTGTTCACTTTGTATGTCTCAATAGCTGGTTCCCTCTCAGTGCAGCCTAGAAGTAAACAAAATAGAGCTCAGTGGGGCTAGAAAGAGTAAAAAGTTTTCATCATGGTCCCACTTTCGAAGTTCTTGAGGTGTTATCAAAGCAGCATCAGCAAATAAACCTTGAGAGACATTGTGGTGAAGGAAAGAAGTTACTTTAGGTGAGTTATGCTGCTTTTCAATGGCTGTGAACAGACACTGGTACTCAGCATGTACCAGCTAGAATTATTGACTTCTAATACTCTGCTCTTACGAGCTCTTTCCATTCCTGTTGTGTGACCTGAAAGGTGAGGGATGCATCTATATGGAACCTTGACACTGTATTACCCAACTGTGGTTCTAAATAGTGTCATCACCCATTTCATAGCCCTGGGATTCTGTCAAAGTTGCTTCATAAACTGAAACTTGGGGAATTCACTGAGGGGGAGAATTAGGTTTAGATTCATTGTTCATCAGTGCTATTGAATATACCTCTCTTTCTTGAGAGATAGTAAATACAATTATTAAATACTGTGCTTCTTCGTAGTGAGCAGGATTACGTTATTAGTAGTTTTCTATTGGAAATAGGCAGTTTTATTGCATTCTCTACACAGAAAATGCTGCTTTGATGGAAATGATGGACTAAAATGTGAGTTGATAGAATACGGCTTAGGCTGGGGGTGCTCAAAAGTCTTTTATATACACAGGATTATGATCTTCTTGGTGAGAAAATCATGTCCTGTGGGATGGATCACTCTCTCAAACTCTGGAGAATTAATTCCAAGAGAATGATAAATGCCATCAAAGAGTCTTATGAATACAACCCAAATAAAACCAACAGGTATGTAGTCTTCATCATCTTGGGTGGCTTTGCAAAACACAAATACTGCAATAGAAACATAGAATGGTTTGGATTGGAAAGGACCTTAAGATCATCCAATTCCAATTCCAACCCCCTGCCGTGGGCAGGGACATCTCACACTAGACCATAGCGTACAAGGCTCTGTCCAACCTGGCCTTGAACACTGCCAGGGATGGAGCATTTGCCACCTTTCTGGGCACCCTGTGCCAGTGCCTCACCACCCTCACAATAAAGAACTTTAAACATCAGTGGCCCAGGTTAATTCCTACCCAAACTAGGATATCTTGGGGATAGTGAGTGATATGGGTATTGTGCTGGGTACTGAAGCTCTCTAGAATGTGTCTTATTGATGTTTGCCTCAGTAGAACTTTATTCAATTAAAAGTCCTGAGCCTTTTATTTTATCTTAATTATTTCTTACCTGCTTGACTAGAAAATGTCTGGAATTATCATTCTTAGAGCTTGTATTTCATTGTGTTCCCAGATGTTAGTGGCTTTTCTTCCTCTCACCTCAAAGTTTCTAGGAGGGGATCAAATCTGTGTAATTAAGTGTAGCCAAGAGTTTTATATTGAGTAGTTTATACTGGTTATTGTATTTGTTATTTGACAAACTGTTTTACATAGTAATAACCTTAATTTTCATCATTCTCTGATCTGACCTTGGATATGAGTAAATTGTCAAGTAAGAGACATGATGGATAAATCCTCCTTTACAAAGCTCCTCAACTTCTTAATCTTAACTTCCAGTTATAAACCACTGAGAGAACTGAAGAGTCTAAACCACACTGAACATGTTCAGCAGTGAGACTAGCTGTGAAAATACTCTGGCTTTTTTTGGTAATGTTACCAAATATTAAATGATGCCTTTGTAGTGTATTCTTATTTTTAATAGTGTGGATTTCTATTTGACAATTTAGGTGGTGCAGAAGCAGCATCAAGTAAAGTGAGCTTTAGTTCCTGAAATATTTGGCAACAGGAGCTGTATTCAGCACCAGAAGGAGTGTTTTTGCGCAGCGCTGTCTCTGCACAGTCTTGTACATGGGAAACCAGTTATTTCATCAGGAAAGAGGATGAAAACAGGGATTGTTCTTATTATTAATAAAAAAAGAAAGCATATAGAATCTACTTTGTTATAAAACTGTTAAAAAAGACAGGATTGTCCTTTTATCATGGAGATAGGTTAAAACTGGCTGTTAAAAATGAGACTTGTGCTTTTGTGTTTCTCTGAACCTCACTTGGCAATTCTCTCCATAGGCCTTTTATTTCCCAGAAAATTCACTTTCCTGACTTTTCTACCAGAGACATACATAGAAACTATGTTGACTGTGTACGATGGCTGGGAGATCTAATTCTTTCCAAGGTAATGTTGCAGCTTTTTAAGTCACATTACTCTTATTTGCTTGTTTTGAGGATCTTAACAGAAGGGTCTTAGGTTAAATTACTCTGCTTTGTCAACTGGTTTTACATCGTGGGTTGTGTCAGCTATCAGGATGTGTGGATAAGCAGCTTGTACTTAAGAAGTAAAATTGCTACTACAGCTGTACCCCTGCTAAAAGTACAAGGGTATCAGCTAACCAGAATCTGCATGGAACCTATATAGGTACTAATGAGGGATCCTGCAGCTAGAGGGAGAAATTAGGGTTCCCATGAGGGACTAACTTTGATTAATGTGTTGAGTTTATTAGTAACATTGGCTTCCAGATATTAAACTAGGTGGTCCAACTGCCTTGTTGTCAGAAATTGGAGCATGCATGGTCAAAGGGATTGGGTAGAAGAGCTTCAAACCAAGGTTAATTCAAACACACATGACAGTGTGTTTGAGCACATCTGGTTGACACCATCTGAAGGAGGGGAGGGAGGGCTCCTTCATTCCTATTGTCTGGCAAAGCTGGGAGCAGGCTCCTGGTGATGGGCAGTGATTTCTGTTGGTGGTGTGGCTGTGATAAAGGGGACATTTTCACTTGTTCTTTTTTTAATGTCATTGGGGAAGCTGTGAAATGAAATATTTGGTTATAGTTATAATCAGACTGAATGTGCTGTATAAATTATATAGGTGATATTTTTTTTCTCCATTGTTTTCCTCAGTCTTGTGAAAATGCCATTGTGTGCTGGAAACCTGGCAAAATGGAAGATGATATAGATAAAATCAAGCCCAGTGAGTCAAATGTGACCATACTTGGGAGATTTGATTACAGCCAGTGTGATATATGGTACATGAGGTTTTCAATGGATTTCTGGCAAAAGGTATGTGTCGGCTTTGACTTTGCTGCATTTGAAGTGCCTAGCTTTTCATGTTTATGGGCATGGGAAAATGTTCATGTGAGGTTTTGGAAGCAGATTGGCTGCTGTGGAATTGGAGGAGCTCCAGGGTTTTCAATCTGGGTTCTTCCTGGTGAAAAAGCTTCACTGAATTTCACTGATTTTCCACCAAATTTCACTGATTTTCCAGCAAAGGGATGTTCACTGTTGCCTTCCTCCCCCATCTGCAGAGATGGATAATAAAATGGAAGAAAGAAGGCAAATCGTATAGCCCTTCTCACCCCTCCAACAACCTCATGAAGTCATTCATATCCAAACACTCACAGTTTAGCAGCTCTAGAGCCTTTATAAAATTCTTTATTCTTTGAGGTACTATCTTAAAACTTCTGTATCCTTTGCTTTCTTTTAAAGATGCTTGCTCTGGGCAATCAGGTTGGCAAACTTTATGTGTGGGATTTAGAAATAGAGGATCCTCATAAAGCCAAGTGAGTACTTCCTTTTTTATTTCATCTTTCTTAAGACAGGGAGTTGGGGCTTTTCCCTTTTTCCTTTACTGGTAACTACAGAAATTCTTCAACAGAACTTGTAACTTCCCATTTGAACTACCAGGAAAATAAACAGCCCCTGAAGGTTAACATTTATCATTTTATACTCATATATTGTCTGTGGTACAGTGGGGCCAAGAGACCCCAGTCAAATCCTGCTGGATACCACATGTAGATATAGTAGAAGACAGTTTGTTTCTCAAAGAGCTTGCATACTAATTAGGTGGATAACTTAACAAAGTGATTAAGAGAAGAGGCACTGGTTGGGTGTAGCACATCACAAAGGAGGAATATGTGAAAGGACTGGAGTAATGAGAGTGCAAAGGTATCTGAGCACAACATAGCTTTCCAGTTCCTCACCTGTGTGGCCAGGCACTTTTACAACAGGTCTATGTATATATATATATATATATATATATATATATATATATATATACACATATACATTTATATAGATATGATTTTTTTTTAATTTAAAATTAAAATTTTAATTAAATTAAATTTTTAATTTCATAGAATGCTTTAGGTTGGAAAGGACCTTAATATCATGTTGTTCCAAAAACCCTGCCGTGGGCAGGGACGCCTCACACTAGACCATGAATAATCACGTTAGATCATATATAAAATTAGAGGTGCAAAAGAACCCCAGACACAGAAAACATTATGTCTATAAAATGCATATATACTATGTATATAAATGATATATGCATTATTTATGTATATACTATATACCAAATTATATATATAGTTGTGTTTTTATATATATAATCTATAGAAATGTGTGTGTCTGTATATATATATCTAGACATACATATATATATATGAAGTTCCTGAAAATGCTGCAGTCTTTAATCACCCAATTACATACAATATTTTATCCTTAACCAACTGGGAAAGAACATTGATTCTGAAGCCCTAAATAACATGATGAAAGAACCTGTCAGTCAGTGCTTCAGTACGAAATGGCTGTGGGTGAACATGAAATTACTGCGTTCCCAAGTCCACATTTAGAACACAGAATACACCATGAAGGGCATAATCCTGTTCCCCTCAGTTCCTCTTAGCTCACAAAAGGAGGAGGTTGGAGAATGAGCACTCTGTGTAAGTGTAGCACCGAGTACAGATTTAACATTGCAGCTGAATGATTTTCTTTTACTTCTAGGTGTACGACTCTTACTCATCCAAAATGTGTCGCTGCCATTCGACAAACCAGTTTTAGCAGGGACAGCAGTATCCTCATAGCGGTGTGTGACGATGCCAGTATCTGGCGCTGGGACAGGCTAAGATAAATGTACTTTTTCTTAACTCAAAGTAGAAAATCTATTTTCAAATTCTAATATAGTCAGTTAAGTCGCTTAGTGCAGTAGGTGCGTTTAGTGTAGACTTCCTCGGAGGTTCGGCGGGCTGGAGCTGACCTTAGTGATGTTTACATTGCGTGTATTGTCCTGCTTGGAATTGCTGCTTTTAATAAAAAGAAGTATTTTTGTAAAGTTTTCTGAATTGTCCATTTTAATTATTTCCCACAGTCAGTTTTCATTTCCAGCCTGTGAAGGTGCTTTGCATACAGCATACAGAAATATATGGCAACTTGATAGAAATCTGGGGGTTGTGCATGTGCTTGTGGCTGTATTTGGGCCTTTTTGACTGGAAACCTAATAAGTTGTTGAATATTAGCCAGGAACCATGCAAAAAGAATACTACACTTAGGAATATAGTATAAAGATATGTTATATTGCTGCTAAAAATATTTTGAACTCATTCTTCAAACGAATTGTACATTTAAATGAGTCTTAAGAGTCATGGTTTGGGTGAAAGGGACCTTGTCCTGGGTTCAGCAGTAGCAGTCATGTTTTTTTCCTTTGTGTTAACTGGTGCAGTGCTGTGTTTTGACTTCTAGTTTTGAGAACAGCGTTGGTGAAGCCGATGTTTTCGGTTGTTGCTAAGTGATGTTTACCCTGACCAAGGACTTTGTGAGGCTCATGCTCTGCCAGGGAGGAGGGGAAGCTGTGAGGAAGCAGAGACGGGGCGCCTGACCCGGGCTAGCCGGGGAGGTATTCCATACCACAGCACGTCATGCCCGGGGTGGGGGGTAACTGGGAGTTGCCCGGAAGGACAGGGGCTTCCGGGTGGAACTCGTTTTCTTGGCCGGTGGTATCGTATTCTCTTCCCTTGTTATTTTCCCTTATCATTGTTTTAGCTGATAGTAGCGGTGGTGATTTGTTGCTGGACTGTTCTTGTCTCAACCCGTAGGAGTTGCACTCTCTCGATCCTCCTCCCCGTTCCTCCGGGAGCGGGGAAGGGGAGAGCCCCGGTGCAGGGAGGGGGGGGGAGACGAACACGGACCTTGATTGTTGTCAGCTCGGCACCACTCACTGGGAGTGAGTGAACAAGTTACCTGACTGGGTTTAAACCACGACAGTTCTTTTTGGCGCCCAACGTGGGGCTCGAGGGGTTGAGATAAGAACAGATCTGACTGGATTGATAGTCACTCGTCACAATGCTGATTTATTGGCTCTCAAGGTTTTTCCTCTTGATCTCACAGTTTCAGTATACCATATCTTACGTCCATCCGGTATTGGCTGTATTAGTGTTTTTCAAGTGTGGGGCTTGGGCTAAGGTTTTTATCCCATTGTACTTTATGGTAATGACTTGTAATACAATAGAATCATTGATCATGAAACTGATCTGGTTTATGTTCCCAGTGTGGTCACCACCTTTATACTTTGGGAGGTATATGATGGAGGTGCTTAGCAATTACACATCTTTTTTCTCCTTCTCAGGTGCTCAACCTGTGAAGGAGACATCCTTTTACCCTCCTAGTCGTCCCCCCAGACCATTTACATTTGAGAGTTTTGAATTTTTTAAATGGCCTTTTAATGCTCTTGAGACTTGTTTGCTGATGGTGATGGGAATCACCATGCTAACACGCATACAGAGTGTGTTTTGCCCACTACTGATTTCAAGAGTTAAGCAGATTCAGGTTTGGGTCTTGTCTGGGGTCAAACGACGATGTAGGAGGACCGAGAGACTTTCCCAGAGGCTGGACAGCCATGAGTGGCAGGGTGTGTGGGATAGTATGGGCAAGTATCTAGGTCAGTGGGCCCCTCCAGTATTTTGGAATTTCACTACCGAACAACTGCAAAATCCAGAAGAATTAGTAAAACACTTAAATGAGGTGTGTGGTCATTCTGGCCATACCAGAGATGGACAAATCACGGCAACGTGCTGGGGCTTGGCCTATGCTTACAGGGCCTTGTTCAACACTATTCAGCACCTTCAAAAGGAAAAGAATGTCGGCGGATTTGAGGGCAAAGTGACAGTCGCTACTCAAACTTTGGCTGCAATGAACTGCGCAGCTACCCCAGTGGCAAGTACAGCAGCTGCTCAAACTTCAACTGCAACAGACAGCGCGGTTACCCCAGCTCCAAGCACGGTAGCTACACCACCCCCAGCAACAAGTACAGTCGCTACTCAAACCACAGTGATAATCACTGCAGCCAAACCAGAGGACCAATTCGTACCAATATCGGTTGCCCCTGTACGCAAGAGAACAAGCAAAAAGGAGGCAAAAAGGGTGAAGCGAGATGAAGAACCAATGAATTCACCACCCGGTCCAGAATCTGATCAGGAGTCATCCTCACATGACGAAGAAGAAGAAGAAGTAACTTCTCGACCTCGGACCTCAACCGAGCTGCGGAATATGCGAAAAGATTTTACCCGTCAACCAGGGGAGCACATCATCACCTGGTTACTCCGATGCTGGGACAATGGGGCCGATGGTCACGAACTAGAAGGTACAGAAGCCAAGCAGCTGGGATCACTTGCTAGAGAAGGGGGAATTGACAAAGCAATTGCAAGAGAGAAAAAGTCCCTCAGCCTTTGGAGGAGGCTCTTGGCAGCTGTGAAAGAAAGGTTTCCGTACAAGGACGATGTTACGAGTCGTTCGGCCAAGTGGACTACTATAGACAAAGGCATCCAGTCTCTGAGGGAATCGGCCATCGTAGAGATGATCTATCACATCAAGCCGAATAACGGGGATACACCTATAGATCCAGATGAAGTTGAATGTACACGACCCATGTGGCGAAAACTTACACGGAATGCACCGTCATCATATGCCCATTCATTGGCAACAGTGACCTGGAATGACATAGTACCACTAACAGTGGATGAAATGGTTCATAAACTCCGAGAGTTCGAAGACAATCTCACTCCTTCCATCATCTCAGCTGTGAAAAAACTGTCCCAGGACCTCGACAAATTGAGGGACGATGTATCTGATTTATCCAGCTCCTCACGTGTACCAACACGCGTCTCAGCTATTAACAAAAGACGTCCTATTGTTCAAGAGAGGAGATACAGAAGGTATACGCCACGGGGTACCCTATGGTTTTACCTGCTGGATCACGGAGAAGACATGACAAAGTGGGATGGAAAACCTACTTCAGCTTTGGAGGAACGGGTGAGTGAACTGAAGAGGGGAGCAAGGGCCAAGACTGATCGTCCCATGAGAGCTACGGCTTCAGTCTCTGGTGAGCAGTTTCCCAGATGGAGTGGAAGAGCTGATTTTACTCCAGCTCCTGTGATAACGAAGAATAATCCCTTTCAACACGACTTAAGTGTCCAATGCTGTGACGACCATTAGAGGGGCCCTGCCTCCAGCCAGGTGGAGGTAGGGGACAATCGGATTTACTGGACTGTGTGGATCAGATGGCCTGGCACATCAGTCCCACAGAAGTATAAGGCTCTAGTAGATACCGGTGCACAGTGTACCCTGATGCCATCAAGCTGTCAAGGGGTGGAACCCATCTATATTTCTGGAGTAACAGGAGGATCCCAAGAGTTGACTGTGCTGGAGGCTGAAATCAGCCTGACTGGGAGGGAGTGGCAAAAGCACCCTATTGTGACTGGTCCAGAGGCTCCATGCATCCTCGGCATAGACTACCTCAAGAGAGGGTACTTCAAAGACCCAAAAGGGTACCGGTGGGCTTTTGGTATTGCTGCTTTGGAGACTGAGGAAATTGAGCAGCTGTCCACCTTGCCTGGTCTCTCAGAAGATCCCTCTGCTGTGGGGTTGCTGAAAGTTGAAGAACAACAAGTGCCAATTGCGACCACAACAGTGCACCGGCGGCAATATCGCACCAACCGAGACTCCCTGATTCCCATCCATCAGCTGATCCGTAGACTGGAGAGTCAGGGGGTGATCAGCAGGACCCGCTCACCCTTCAATAGCCCCATATGGCCAGTGCGAAAGTCTAATGGAGAATGGAGACTAACAGTAGACTATCGTGGCCTGAATGAAGTCACACCACCATTGAGTGCTGCCGTACCGGACATGCTAGAACTTCAGTATGAACTAGAGTCAAAAGCAGCCAAGTGGTATGCCACGATTGATATTGCCAATGCATTTTTCTCCATTCCTTTGGCAGCAGAGTGCAGGCCACAGTTTGCTTTTACTTGGAGGGGTGTCCAGTTCACTTGGAACCGACTGCCCCAGGGGTGGAAACACAGCCCTACCATTTGCCATGGACTGATCCAGACTGCACTGGAACAGGGGCAAGCTCCAGAACACCTGCAATACATTGATGACATTATTGTGTGGGGCGATACAGCGGAAGAAGTCTTTGAGAAAGGGAGGAAAATAATCCAAATCCTGCTGAAAGCCGGTTTTGCCATAAAACGGAGTAAGGTCAAGGGACCTGCACAGGAGATTCAATTTTTGGGAATAAAATGGCAAGATGGACGTAGACAGATCCCCACAGATGTGATCAACAAGATAACAGCAATGTCTCCACCAACTAATAAGAAAGAAACGCAAGCTTTCTTGGGTGCAGTGGGGTTCTGGAGAATGCACATCCCAAATTACAGTTCGATTGTAAGCCCTCTCTATCATGTGACCCGGAAGAAGAATGATTTTAAATGGGGCCCTGAGCAGCAACAAGCCTTTGAGCAAATTAAACGCGAGATAGTTCATGCAGTAGCCCTTGGACCAGTCCGAACCGGACCAGATGTAAAAAATGTGCTGTACACTGCAGCTGGGGAGAACGGTCCTACCTGGAGCCTCTGGCAGAAAGCTCCAGGGGAGACTCGAGGTTGACCCCTCGGCTTTTGGAGTCGGGGATACAAAGGATCTGAGGCCAGCTATACCCCAACTGAGAAAGAGATACTGGCAGCCTATGAAGGGGTTCGAGCTGCTTCGGAAGTGATTGGCACTGAAGCACAGCTCCTCCTGGCACCCCGGCTGCCCGTGCTGGGCTGGATGTTCAAAGGCAGGGTCTCCTCTACACATCATGCAACTGATGCTACATGGAGTAAATGGGCTGCACTAATTACACAACGAACTCGAATAGGAAATCCCAGTCGTCCAGGCATTCTAGAAGTCATCATGGACTGGCCAGAGGGCAAAGATTTCGGAATGTCACCAGAGGAGGAGGTGGTGCGTGCTGAAGAGGCCCCACCATATAATAAACTGTCAGAAAGTGAAAAGCAGTATGCCTTGTTTACTGATGGCTCTTGCCGTATTGTGGGAAAGCATCGGAGATGGAAGGCAGCTGTATGGAGTCCTGGACGACAAGTTGCAGAAACTGCTGAAGGAGAGGGTGAATCGAGTCAATTTGCCGAGGTGAAAGCCATCCAGCTGGCCCTGGACATTGCTGAACGAGAAAAGTGGCCAGTACTTTATCTCTATACTGACTCATGGATGGTGGCAAATGCCCTGTGGGGGTGGTTGAAGCAATGGAAGCAGAGCAACTGGCAACGCAGAGGTAAACCCATCTGGGCTGCTGCACTGTGGAAAGATATTGCTGCCCGGGTGCAGAATCTGGTGGTGAAGGTACGTCATGTAGATGCCCATGTACCCAAGAGTCGGGCCACTGAGGAACACCAGAACAACCAACAAGTGGATAAAGCGGCTAAGATTGAAGTGGCTCAGATGGACTTAGATTGGCAACATAAAGGTGAATTATTTTTGGCCCGGTGGGCCCATGACACTTCAGGCCATCAGGGCAGAGATGCAACATATAGATGGGCCCGTGACCGAGGGGTGGACTTAACAATGGACACTATTGCCCAGGTTATTCATGAGTGTGAAACATGTGCTGCAATTAAACAAGCCAAGCGGTTAAAGCCTCTTTGGTATGGAGGACGATGGTTGAAGTATAAATATGGGGAGGCCTGGCAGATTGACTATATCACACTGCCACCAACCCGCCAAGGCAAGCGCCATGTGCTTACCATGGTGGAAGCAACCACCGGGTGGCTGGAAACATACGCTGTGCCCCATGCCACTGCCCGGAACACCATCCTGGGCCTTGAGAAACAGATTTTGTGGCGACACGGCACCCCAGAGAGAATTGAGTCAGACAATGGGACTCATTTCCGGAATAACCTTATAGATATTTGGGCCAAAGAGCATGGCATTGAGTGGGTATATCACATCCCCTACCATGCACCAGCCTCTGGGAAAATCGAACGGTACAATGGGCTGTTAAAAACTACACTGAGAGCGATGGGTGGGGGAACTTTCAAGCATTGGGATACACATTTACCAAAGGCCACCTGGTTGGTCAACACCAGAGGATCTGCCAACAGGGCTGGCCCAGCCCAGTCAGAACTTTTACATATTGTAGAGGGGGACAGAGTTCCCGTGGTGCATATGAAGAATTTGCTGGGGAAGACAGTCTGGGTTATTCCTGCTTCAGGTAAAGGCAAACCCACTCGTGGGATTGCTTTTGCTCAGGGACCTGGATATACTTGGTGGGTAATGCGGGAAGATGGGGAAGTCCGATGTATACCTCAAGGGGATTTGATATTAGGGGAAAACAGCCAGTGAACTCAATTGTATGCTGTTGCCTGCTGTGTAATGCTTTTATAGCCCATCAACTAGATGTCTCCAGGTCACCAGCGACTGGCCCTGACTTCCCTCCAGCCATCATCCCAACAGAGAATGAACTTGGAACATCATGGACCGAATGGACTCGGCAGCATTATAGGGATTGGTCCATGCACTAAGAAAATGATTTTTTTCCTCTTGGTCTGTATGTATATGGATGTATATATGTGGGAGAGCGATGGTGTATTGAAAATGTGGGATCTGAGCACGACGTGAATGGTATGGAATAAGGGGTGGATAATGTCCTGGGTTCAGCAGTAGCAGTCATGTTTTTTCCTTTGTGTTAACTGGTGCAGTGCTGTGTTTTGACTTCTAGTTTTGAGAACAGCGTTGGTGAAGCCGATGTTTTCGGTTGTTGCTAAGTGATGTTTACCCTGACCAAGGACTTTGTGAGGCTCATGCTCTGCCAGGGAGGAGGGGAAGCTGTGAGGAAGCAGAGACGGGGCGCCTGACCCGGGCTAGCCGGGGAGGTATTCCATACCACAGCACGTCATGCCCGGGGTGGGGGGTAACTGGGAGTTGCCCGGAAGGACAGGGGCTTCCGGGTGGAACTCGTTTTCTTGGCCGGTGGTATCGTATTCTCTTCCCTTGTTATTTTCCCTTATCATTGTTTTAGCTGATAGTAGCGGTGGTGATTTGTTGCTGGACTGTTCTTGTCTCAACCCGTAGGAGTTGCACTCTCTCGATCCTCCTCCCCGTTCCTCCGGGAGCGGGGAAGGGGAGAGCCCCGGTGCAGGGAGGGGGGGGGAGACGAACACGGACCTTGATTGTTGTCAGCTTGGCACCACTCACTGGGAGTGAGTGAACAAGTTACCTGACTGGGTTTAAACCACGACAGACCTTAAAGCTCATCCAGTTCAAACCCCTGCCACGGGCAGGGACACCTTCCACTAGAGCAGCTTGCTCCAAGCCCCTGTGTCCAACCTGGCCTTGAACACTGCCAGGGATGGGGCAGCCACAGCTTCTCTGGGCACCCTGTGCCAGCGCCTCAGCACCCTCACAGGGAAGAGCTTCTGCCTAAGAGCTCATCTCAGTCTCCCCTCTGTCAGTTTAAAGCCATTCCCCTTACCCTGTCCCTACAGGCCCTTGTCCAAAGCCCCTCTCCAAGTTTCTTGTAGCCCCTTTAGGCACTGGAGCTGCTCTAAGGTCTCCCCTTAAGGAGCCTTCTCTTTTCCAGGCTGAACCAGCCCAGCTTTCTCAGCCCATCTTCAGGAAGTACCTGCAGAGCTGAATACGGATCAGCTGAAGAGAGACATGAGACTGGAAACAGGTTTTAATCTCCAGTGCTGCATCTATAGCACTGCTGGTGCAGTATCCCTGTACCTAATAGTTATTTCTGTGGGAAGTGTGGGGTTGGCAGAGTCTGGAAGACTGTGGTGGTGGGGATGTGGTTGGGGGAACTCTCCAAAGAGGCAGTGGGAGTGCTCAGAGCCTTCAAGGAAAGAGCTTTGATCAGATGAGCTGAACTGTTGAGAACACTTGGGCTGGAGGCTTTGCAGTCGCTTTAGGGTAGCATGTCATTAACTGTGTCTGCTGTGTTTTCCTGTCGCCAGAGCTGAGTGAAACAAGATACCCAAGCAGGATTGTTCAACTGTGGCTGGGTTTTGGTATGTAAGTGTTATGTTCTGACAAATGAGCTGCTCTGCTGGAGGGCATGGGAAGGAAGGGTGGTGCCAGGCTGCAGGGAGGCCTAATCACAGTCAGGGGCAGCTTTAACTTCTCTCAAAGAATGCATGTGCTGAAGACTTCTCTTTAAATGCAGATAGATGTTCCAGTAGGTTTGCCTTGAAGAAAGCTGGATGGAGCTTAGATCAGATTCAGGGTGTTCATGAAGGGAAGAACTAGAGAATGTGAACTTGCAAAAACAGAGCTGGAGCAGGCCACAAGGAAGAAAAAGTTCTCCTTTACAACAGTCAGCCCTATATGCTTTTAGGGTTAAAAAATACCTTGAATATACACCACAAGGGAAACACCTCCTTGGTTCAGACCAAAAAAGCTCAAGTGAACATGGATATTGTGTATTTATTTCATTGAGGTGTTTTCTCCCTCGTGTTGCCTGGTTCTAGATGAAAAAAGGGCAAAAAACCCCAAATCATTGTGCATCTTCTGAAAAATCCAAAGCTCATAGAGTTGTAAGCATTGCAAAAGAATTTAGGGTTTAATAATCTCCAAAACCTTTTAACCTTTAATATATACATTTGTGTAACATCTTGAAAGCTTCAATGCCCAAGTTTTTAGCAAAATAATCAGAATGGTTTGGGTTGGAAGGGACCTTAAAGCTCCTCCAGTTCCAACCCCCTGCCACGCGCAGGGACACCTTCCACTAGAGCAGCTTGCTCCAAGCCCCTGTGTCCAACCTGGCCTTGAACACTGCCAGGGATGGGGCAGCCACAGCTTTTCTGGGCACCCTGTGCCAGCACCTCAACACCCTCACAGGGAAGAACTTCTGCCTAAGAGCTCATCTCAATCTCTTGTCAATCTAAAACCATCCTCAGGGCTGAAGCTCCTGTTTGCTGGGGTTTTACTCCATCTGGTGGTGACTGAGTAAAAAACGTTACCACAACCTACTCGAACAAGGTTCTTCTCGAGGCAGAGAAACGACACTAAAACACTTTTCATCCTGAAACAGGAAAATGCAGGAAGAGGTTTATTCCCTTCCTCAACAGGGACCCTGAAGTGAAGCTCAACCGTATCTTCACAGCCAAAAGGGGGGAATACCCCTGTACTATTGGTACAGGCTGGTGACACCAATAGTAGTTGTCCACAGTGTACAAACTTAGTGTGAGTAGCCACAGGAAAACCATCAGCATCTTTTTAGTTGCCTGATCACCCTTCAGAATGAGGTGAAGAAGGAAAAACTCCACTTATTTTTTCACAACTAAACACACACAAGTACAAAACACTGCTTCTGTTTTTAATCTTATATTTTCTTCCACTTCAAATGCAGTTTCAAGAGAGTATTCCTACACATGCACATGGAACAGTGGTTTATTGCAACCAAGCGCTTCAGTTAAAAAACCCCAACGCAGGCAAGCAGTTTTCATTGATTTTCATTTTAAATAAGTTCCAAGAGTAATACAAATGATCCAGGTTTGTCTCTCTGGAGTAATCGTTTGTTGTTTCCTTTCCCAAAAGTTCTTCAATGAGTTACTGCTGCTGTTATCCTTCTGGTAACACTGTTTGGAAAGCGCTTCAAATGACACAGTGTCAGCTTATGTTTTCCAGAAGAGAGGGTTCTGTGTCAGACGTCTCTGGAAGTTCTCATACCTGGAAGAAAGTCCAAGAAATAAGAACTGCAGCAAATGAAGAAGGACACAAATCAATCTATGTGGAGAACATGGTAAGTTACATATACTCTAACGCCAGGCTGGATGGAGTCCTGGGTAACATGGTTTAGTGTGTGGTGTCCCTGCCACTTGCGCAGGTACAACTGTCCCTGTACTACCCCATCAGTGCTGCTCCACCTGGGATGCAGCCAGTCCCCTCAGCACTTCCCAGCTCATGGGGACAGCAGACGGAAGTCAGCAGCTTGGCAGACACGAGCGGACTGACACAGGGACTGCAGCTTCCAATTCCAGAGTGCTTCCTAGCAGGGTATGTGTAACCTGCTCACTGGCAAGGAAGAGGGGCCCACTGATAATTCTGTACCCAAGGCTACTATTCCATGATTCTATTATTCTACACAACAATTTGCTTTGTGGTTCTAATAGAATCCTTGAGACAAAGTAGTCCCCATCATCCCCCCACCCTTAACAAATGATTCCAACTTCCACATCTTTACTGTGAGGGTGCTGAGGCGCTGGCACAGGGTGCCCAGAGAAGCTGTGGCTGCCCCATCCCTGGCAGTGTTCAAGGGCAGGTTGGACACAGGGGCTTGGAGCAACCTGCTCTAGTGGAATGTGTCCCTGCCCAAGGCAGGGGTTGGAACTGGATGAGCTTTAAGGCCCCTTCCAACCCAAACCATTCTATGGTTCTATGATTTTAGAGGGGTTTAAACCCGCTCAAGTTAGAGAAAGGCTTATTTATGAATGAGTTTCTAAGCCAACTATTGAATTTCCATGTCAGCCAGCCCACTGCAGACACCCAAGATATTCTACCTATTACAAGTGATCATTAAACACATTGTAATGACTCACCAACATAGGAACTGTGCCAAAAGTGTTGTTTTTCTGTGGCAGTAATCACACTAACAGATTTCTATACAGAGTTACACCTCCCTTCACTCTACTGCTTTGAACAACAGCCAAAAGCAAGTTCAGCATCATCTAGGCAGTGCCCAGCCATTATCCTGCTTCTTTAGCCTGTCTTCCCTTTGGTTCCTCTCATCAGAGACCTTACCTATATGTGTTCATGGAGTGCGTAGTTAACTTTTAAATAGAAAGGGTTACACTCCCAAAGAAAAAACACTGCTGTTGTTAACTGCCTGCATATTCAGTACTAGTGATAAAACTATTCAGAGAGCCCAGAACACTGTTTTAAGAAGGGTTTTGGTTGATACTGTAGAAGCTAAAGGGGGTTAAACTGATAAACTGCAGGGCAGACTTTGTCAGGCATCCTAAAGGACTGCTCCCTAAGCTCACAAGTTATCTCCATACTACATAGACTATCCCCACAGACTGTTATTTCTTAAACCAGGCCCTGGAAAGCAGCTCTTAAGATTCCTGTATTTGTGCAGAAAGGTCTTGGTAACAGAACCAGGTAAATGAGGAACATGGTTTCTCCACATCTCCCATGTTCTCAAGCAATGTAACTGTGGTGGAATTATGTCTAGGAAGAGACAGAGCATAACAAATAAGCACAAACTGACAAGTATCAGCATGTTCTGTCTCCCCATGACTCCAGAGCGTTTGCATAACCAGCAACATAGTGCAAATCACATATGTCAAGGGTGACTTTTCTAGAAGCAAAGAAAACATCACAGGCTATACAGCACCCTTCTGATTAGAAAATAGCATGAAGATAGTGACAAATATGAAAACAGTGGCAGAACCTCTTTTTACTTGAGATAAACCTCAAATACTTTTAAACATGAAACACTAAGTAACATGAGAGTAGTTCAATACTGAGAAATCGTCTGGTTTAACGCCTGGAAGAAAGAACCTTTGTCACTAGAGATCCCTGCCATTACCATTTCAGGACTACATTTGCAGGAATGAAAGCTTCAGAGGGGTTTGGGGTCATCTGTGCCTGAGTAACAGCAAACGAGGAAGCGAAGTTATAGAAGTTGTCCAACATCTTCTGAGTGAACTGAAATAAAAAAAAAAAAAAAAAAAAAAGAGACATTTTCAATAAGTTCTTTTTCTCAGTTTAAATTTCTGTGCAAAAGTTGGATGGATTTACAACTCCTACGTGAAGTAAAATGAGCCTTGTAGTTGAAACTAAATGATCTTAAGGTCTCTTTCAACCCAAACCATTTCGTCATTCTATGATTTCGAAACATCAATGCATACAGCCAAATGGTTTGACAATGATTACGTTGGTTACAATCCTGCAGCCACCCACCACCACATCTTTTCCCCCTCCGTTAGTCCTTCAGAGGCTCAATTCTTAAACTTTCATGGCACAGAGAATATCCGACAACAGAACATCCAAACTACCTCTGTGAAAGAATCTACTGATGACACGGCAGCACTTGCAACAGGAGTCTGCTGGGCCAGGTTCTCCAGCAGTTCCACTGAGATTCCAATCTGGGCCACCGTGGGTGTCTGGGGGAGGTTCATGGCACCAAAGGGATGTTGACTTCCCTTCCCTGAAAGCACCACAAACAGCACACGTTAGATCTGGCACACATGCAAAGACTGTGTTACTTAAATCACCCTGTTTCTTCTGTAGAGAGAATTCCTCAATTCCCACCAAAAACATCCCTATCTTAGACATGCAGAAGATTCACACAGCCCAAGCACAGGCACAAGTACACCCAAGAGATGAAGCAGTGTGGTCAGTACATCAAAAACCACAACAGATCTTAAGGAAGTCCTTAAAAAAAAAAACGGAGAATATAACTGATGTCAACTTGGACTTGTTACTGACATCAACCACGTGGACTTGTGCAAAGCACTGGACAATGTCCTTGTCCCTAACCTGGAGAGATATGGATTTGACAGATGGAGCACTTGTAGCTAAGAAACTGTCTGGATGGCTGCACTCAAGAGAGTTGTGGTCAATGGCTTAATGTCCCCGTGAAGACTAGTGATGAGTGGTGCTCCTCAAGCATTGGTACATGGTTATAAGGTCTCCCCTGAGCCTTCTTTTCTCCAGGCTGAACAGCCCCAGCTCTCTCAGCCTTTCCTCATACAGCTTCCCAGTCTTTGGATCATCTCTGTGGTCCTTCTCTGGACCCTCTCCAGCCTGTCCACATCTTTTTGTATAGTGGGGACCAAAACTGAATACAGTATTCCCGGCGTGGCCTGACAGATGCTGAGTAAATGGGGCAAAGACATCTTTATCTGATGGGGATGTCCTTGTTGATGTATCTCAGCACCCTGTTGGCTTTCTTTGCCACATCTGCACACTGTTCACTCCTAATGTTCACAAGGACAGCCAGGTCCCTTTCTGCAGAGCAACTCCCCAGCCAGGCAGATCCCAGCCTGGCTGTGTGTCTTCCCTGGATTGTGTCTTCCCAGGTGCAAGACCTTACACATATTGTTGAACTTAGTCAGTTCAACACCTTCTTGTTAGCCAACACCTTCAGCCTACCCAGGTCACTCTGCAGGGTGGTTCTCTCTTCTAAAGTGTCCACTTCCCCACTCAGTTTGGTTCCCCAATGGCAAACATCATCAGGGTACACTTGATCCCATCCTTCAGATCATTTCTGAAGACACTGAACAGCGTTGTGCCCAGTGTCAATTCCTTAGGGACCCCACTAATGACAGGTTGCCAATTTGGCCAATCTGTGTGGTTCAGTTCGGTTGATATGCTGGAGGGAAGGAATGCCATCCAGAGGGACCTTGACACACTTGTGAGGTGGGCTGATGCCAACCTCATGAGGTTTAACCATGCCAAGTGCAAGGTCCTACACCTGGGTCGGAGCAATCCCAGGCACAGCTACAGGTTGGGCAGAGAAGAGATTCAGAGCAGCCCTGTGGAGAAGGACTTGGGGGTGTTGGTCGATGAGAAAATGAACATGAGCCGGCTTCAGTGTGTGCTTGCAGCCCAGAAATCAAACCATATCCTGGGCTGCATCAAAAGGAGTGTGACCAGCAGGTCAAAGGAGGTGATCCTGCCCCTCTACTCTGCTCTTGTGACACCTCACCTGGAGCATTGTGTGCAGTTCTGGTGTCCTCAACATAAAAAGGACATGGAACTGCTGGAACAAGTCCAGAGAAGGGCCACGAGGATGATCAGGGGACTGGAGCACCTCCTGTATGAAGACAGGCTGAGGAAGTTGGGGCTGTTCAGCCTGGAGAAGAGAAGGCTGCGTGGAGACCTCATAGCAGCCTTCCAGTATCTGAAGGGGGCCTATAGGGGTGCTGGAGAGGGACTCTTCATTAGGGACTGCAGTGACAGGACAAGGGGTAACGGGTTAAAACTTAAACAGGGGAAGTTTAGATTGGATATAAGAAGGAAATTCTTTCCTGTTAGGGTGGTGAGGCACTGGAATGGGTTGCCCAGGGAGGCTGTGAATGCTCCAACCCTGGCGGTGTTCAAGGCCAGGTTGGAGGAGGCCTTGAGTGACATGATTTAGCGTAAGGTGTCCCTGCCCACGGCAGGGGGGTTAGAACTGGATGATCTTAAGGTCCTTTCCAACCCTAACGATTCTATGATTCTTTGAATTTGAGAAGGAGCCATTTACCACCACGCTCTGGGTGCAGCTGGTCCACCAGTGGTCCACCACACTGACCACTCATCAGACTATGGATTGAGAGCAGCCCTGAGGAGAAGGATTTAGGGGTGTAGATTGAAAAGAAGCTCAACATGACCCAGCCATGTGTGCTTGAGCGTAGAAACCAACCATGTCCTGGGCTGCATCAAAGAAAGTGTAAGCAGCAGGTCAAGGGAGGGTATTCTTCCCCTTTACTCTGCTCTTGTGACATGCCCACTGCAGCTCTGCATTCAGCTCTGGGGCTCCCAACATAAGAAGCATGTTGAGCTGTTACAGTGAGTCCAGAGGAGGCCACAGAGATGCTGTGAGGGCTGGAGCAGCTCTGCTCTGGAGCCAGGCTGAGAGAGCTGGGCTGGTTCAGCCTGAAGAAGAAAAGGCTCCAAGGAGACCTTAAAAGCAGCTCCAGTGCCTAAAGGGGCTACAGGAAACCTGGAGAGGGGCTCTGCACAAGGGATGTAGGGAGAGGACAAGGGGAATGGCTTTAACCTGACAGAGGGGAGATTGAGATGAGCTCTTAGGCAGAAGCTCTTCCCTGTGACTGTAGTGATAGGACAAGGGGTAATGCGTTCAAACTGAAATGGAGATTTAGGTTACATATAAGGAAGAAGTTCTTTCCTGTGAGGGTGCTGAGGCGCTGGCACAGGGTGCCCAGAGAAACTGTGGCTGCCCCAATCCTGGCAGTGCTCAAGGCCAGGTTGGACACAGAGGCCTGAAGCAATCTGCTCTAGTGGAAGGGGTCCCTGCCCGTGGCAGGGTGTTGGAACTGGATAAACTTTAAGGTCCCTTCCAACCAAACCCTTTTAAAGCTCCCTATGAAGTAAATGGATTCAACAGGAAACATGACCTGTGAGTAAAAGACAGCAGAACCTTTCTCTATAGGAACCAAGCCTTTCATTTATATTTCAGTAATTGGAGAGAACTGGGAAGAATAAGAGCCCGGAAGATTGCCCACTGACTGTCATCCCAGCCAGGGTGGGGAAATGCATGGAAAACGCCCTAAACCTCACAAACTTTATTCAGCACAAAATCTAACCAGCAATTTTGGTTGGGGGGAGTGTGTGGTTGGTTTAATAAGCCTTATTCCCAGCAAACATGAAGACTGCATCTGAAGAGATGCAAAACAATTCAGACTTAATGCTTATTACAAAGCCACTCACCACCTTACATGATAGTTAATCCTCAAAAAGAAATATGTAATTTTGAGGCATTTGACTCCTAGACTTACTATCCATATCACAGCAGATGCAAGAGAATTTACTAAATCAAGGGGTCAACACAACAAAAACACTAACACAAGAAATGTATATTTCTAACCTCCCAGCACAGATTTTAAGAATGGTTAAATGTTAGCAAGAGGAGCAACATGAAAAGCCTGCTTTTAGATACATTACGTTTGTACCAAGGACACTAAGAAATACAATTCAACAAACTTTGCCTGATTATACAGGAGCAACAAAGGAGTATTTTAGAGGGAATGATGGAATTCCTGTGAGACACCTTGAAGAGCCAATCTGGAAATCACTTATTCTGAGGTTACCTGAGTATAAATAGCACCCATACTCAAGGATAAGCACCCAGGTTCATAATTTAGTGTCTATTCCACAAATCACTTTCATGTTGAAGACTATTCCATAAACGTGATTTCCCCTTTAGTTCATCTATGGAGACAACCTTCCGGTATCCCACTTGGAAACACCACAGTGTTCATCTGCATTGGCTCTCCTAAGCGAGCATGGGACAGGATGGAGGAGAGAAGTAAGGAAAAAGAACTGGGACAATGCCATTTTACTTGACCCTCATTGTCAAGAAGTGTAATACCAGATCCCCAGATACTGTATTTAATAGCCCAGCCAGTGCTTACAACATGCAACGTGGGTGAGTTACACACACCACAAACCCTGTATGGTTCCAAGGCGTTTTAGACGCTACGCATAAGCTTAAGAGTTAGACATGACACATTTAACTTCTCCCCAAATCTGTAATAAACCATGTGCCACCTCAGCTGGCCACTCATGATCACGTAAGAAACATCACACAGCAAAAAACTGACAGAGCCCCTGTGTCATAGGGAGCTGACAAACACGGACACAAAACTGGTCCTCTCAAGGGACTGAACCCAAACCACAGATTTCAACAATCAGTATGTCTCTCAATGATTCCAGCTCTCTGTAGTCCCTTTTCCCTCCTCACCTTTCTATAGCCTCATAGTCTTCATTATACAATTGTTTATGGCCATGGAAACTAAGACTGTGGAGCTTATACTGACTCTATAGCCTGAGATCAGCTGTAGACAACAACAGGAACAGGGGAGCTCTCTGCTGTTCACATAGCACTACCGCACTGCACTGCAAATGCATTCAACCATAGAATCATATAATCAACTAGGTTGGTAAAGACCTTTAAGCTCAAGTCCAACCATTCCCCAGCACTGCCAAGACTACCACTAAACCATATCACCAAGGGCCTCATCTACATGGTTTGTCAACACTTCCATGTCTCAGAGTTCCTCCTCAAGAGCAGCTCGTACTTGGAAATTATGGCTTACCATGCAAAAAGCATTTGAAAATGAACTGACCTACATACCTGTCTGAAAGCATACATAATAGAGTCTTTTAAGCATAAGAAACATATAGCAGAAGAATGGGCAATACCCTTTACTGTTTCACTCACAACTTTGTAGTATACAAAACCATGCCTCCACCAAGCCCTTCCTGTAGCTGTTCTCTCTCCTGCTGAAAGCCCAGTTTTAGAGGCTGTACATGACAAGAACTCATTTTGCTCTGCACACCGAGAGGCCTTATCTCATATCACAATGCCACCCAGGACTGACTCAAAAAGAGCATGCCACATTAATAATTAATACACTTCATTATAGCAACCTCAATGCTTACCTAAGCAGAAATTCAAGTTAAGGCTGTAGGCCACGCTGAAGCCTACAAAAGATGTGCATTACTTTATCACTCTAACACTTCAAGCTGCTTGACTGACATACACAGAATCACAGAATGGTTTGGGTTGGAAAGGACCCTAAGATCATCCAGTTCCGACCCTGTGCCATGGGCAGGGACACCTCACACAAGACCATGCTGCCCAAGGCTCTGACCAACCTGGCCTTGAACTGCCAGTGATGCAGCATTTACCACTTCTTTGGGCAGCCTGTTCCAGTGCCTCACCACCCTCACAGTAAAGAACTTCTTCCTTATATCTAACCTGAACTTCCCCTGTTTCAGTTTGAACCTATCACCCTTTGTCCTATCACTGTTCCTTTAACACTTATGACAATACTATGCCATTGGGGCTCTTCATCATTTTTACATTATGCATGGCAACATTCCCATTTATGAAAACACACCCACACGTATTTCAGACAGCACCGGCATTCTCTGGCTCCCTCATGAGTCAGACTTCTCCATCTCGGGTCTGTATCAAAAATACTAAAACATTGGCAAAGCTGCTTTCCAATGTCCACTCTCTACTGGACAATTACAGAGTGCAACAGCACCTGAATGGGAAGAATTAGCTGTCTGAAACCACATCAGACTTTACTCATTACAAAGCCTGTCTCTGTTTATAAGGATTATAACTACTTAACAGTGGAAGCTGAAAGAAAACGCTTCAGGCATGTCCAGAAGAACACCTAAAAACATGCCAAAGAACCTACAGGGTCATTCTTCCTCAGGTTCTCCATGGGAACACATGCCAAACGTGCTCAAAGGAATTCCCAGATCAACATTACATGCAACAAAGGACGAGTGAGGAATTTCTCTAGGAATATTAACAGACAGACTTCCACGAAGCTGACAAGACTGCGTCTAGCACCACATCTGCTCAGGACCATCTGAACACACAGTGTTCAAGTAGCTTTGTGCTCAAAACCACCTTCATCCCTTCACACATGCAGGAGCACATCCCCTCCGCTGAGTGCAACCTTTTACCAGTCTTACCAGATTTCAGACCAGAAATCTTGAAGATGGCACTTGGCTTCTCATTAGTGACAAACCCCAGCAGCTGCCACACTGCCATCCCATTCTGGTCTGGATAACAAAAATAGACAGATCCTCCCATTCCATCTGGAAATGGTATAGTTCCCAGCATGAAGACCACTATGTGATTGATGTTTTCATAGTCCGGTATATCAAATACAAACTTGTCTTCGGCCACTTGCTGGGGAGCTGCTTGTACCTAAAGAGAACAAAACCTTTATTAGCATGATTATAGTCTTCTTCCCCGAGTGTAACTGTGAACTGCCCTTCACAGAAACAAACCTAAAGTGGAACATAACAGAAAGTGAGGAACGCAGCAACCTAAATAGCAGATAGCCAGAGAAAAAGTCAAACACAGCAGAAGAACAACTGCAGAATACATTACTAGAAAGGCACAACAGTCTCGTTCTACCTGCACTGCACAGATATCCCACCCGGGACTAACAGGATCAGAATACCTTCGCTCCCCATGTGCGTAGGAGGAAAATAGGGTGCAGAAGAGGTTGCCAAGTCTATAAGCAGTGGCTGTTGACCACCTTGGCTGGCACAACCCCAGGATCATGGAAACCTGTTCACATAGGAAATACAATAGACCTTGAGACAGGCAGCAGAAGGACGGCTGAATGCCAGAGCAAAAGATACCCTCCTCTTTACCCGAGATGCCACATCCCTGCAGCCAACGCACAATCTAGCCTTAGAACGCTTCTTTTTAAGCTCCCAGCTTGTCTCTGAGAAGCCCAAGCAGAGGAGATGGCAACTCTCTGAGGAGCCCAAGCCTCTCCATCAGCAACTACCTCCCGGCAATGAGGGCAGCTGCCTCTGGGGACGAGGGGCAGGAGCCAGCCGAGCCGGGCAGGCGGGACGAGGGCAGCGAGGCCCCTCGGAGGAACCCAGCGAGGGGAAGGACGAGCGCCGGCGGCAGCTCCACCCCGGCCCCGGGCGGGTTGAGGGCCCCGGCCGCGGCCCGGGCCGCGCTCACCAGCCTGCCCGCCACCAGGCAGCCGAACATGGCGGCGGCCGCCGAACCCCCTCAGGCGCTCCGCTGCTGCCGAGCCTTCATGGGCGCCGGCTCCCGGATATCACAGCCGGAAAGCGGCCGCGCCGACAACGAGTCATATCCGGAGCGCGGCCGGAACGGGACGGAAACGGGTTAAGGGTGCTGGGGTGGCGGGAGGAGGGAAGGGATGGGGTGGGAGGGAAGGGAGACAGCGGGGCACACAGCGGCACACAGCACCGGACACGGCCAGCGGGCCAGAGCGGTTGGGAACACACAGAGTGTGCACTCTAAGGAAGGCCCGGAGGATGATCAGGGACTGGAGCACCTCCTGTATGAAGACAGGCTGAGGAAGTTGGGGCTGTTCAGCCTGAAGAAGAGAAGGCTGCGTGGAGACCTCATAGCAGCCTTCCAGTATCTGAAGGGGGCCTATAGGGATGCTGGGGAGGGACTCTTCATTAGGGACTGTAGTGACAGGACAAGGGGTAAGGGGTTAAAACTTCCTGTGAGGGCGCTGAGGCCCTGCCCAAGGAAGTTGTGAGTGCTCCATCTGTGGCTGTGTTCAAGGCCAGGTTGGACACAGGGGCTTGGAGCAGCCTGCTCTAGTGGAAGGTGTCCCTGCCCATGGCAGGGGTTGGAACTGGATGAGCTTCAAGGTCCCTTCCAACCCAAAACCATTCTGGGATTCTATGAAAAAAGGAAAAGTTAGTCAGAAAAACCATCTCGTTAAACCCACTGACGCACACCAGGTATATTGGGACAGCTGTGGCAGTGTGTGATGCTGCATTGCTGGGAAACTTGATTTCTCCTCCTGGATGCAGTTCAGGTTGTGGAAGTTCATGCTGGAGAAGTGAGCATCACGCACATTGACTGTGTGGGCTGATCTTTGGTGCCATTGCAGAGTACCGACCACTAGACTGCAGCTGGTGCTCAGAGCACAGCCCTCCTTAAGGTCATTAGGAGGTTCCCACAGTGAGATTTCCAAGGCTGTATCAAACCTTCCACACGCCTGCAAGACGTGCTGATGGCTGGGTTAACATCACACAGGAACACAGAGGCAGAAAGGCAAGCCCACAGATGGTGTTTGCTATGCCACCACCCTCTGCCTCTCAATGTCCCCCACTGTTTGCAAAACCAGTGTATGGTCATGACAGCACTAGGAGACTCCAAACAGCAATGCCATGTGGCAGCGGAAAGGGACTGGAAACCCATGTTTGTGTTTCACAGACATCTGTGCAGTGCCACAGAAAAATACATGGATTCAGTCAGAGAGCAATATGATCAGACAAAAGCCATTTATTGCTAAGCCTTAACTCCTTATATACTATTGCTTACATGCATTTACCATGATTTGGCATATTATGATTGGGTGCATGTCTTGAAGACCCTTAGTGACTAACATATATAACTGGTTAAGCACAGGTGTGAGAACTTGTCCTCGAAAGCTCACCAACAGTCCACAGTTCTCATAGCTCAGTGAATTCCAGCTTCTTCTTATCTTGCTTGCTTAAGCTTCCTCGGGCCTCTCATGGCCTTGCTGTATCTTTCAGGATTGTTCAGAGTTCATGTACCAATTATCCATTCTCCCATGAGAACACTGTCTCCACATCTCCCCCTTTTAGTTTTATATATCTTTTGGATGACCCTACTTCAGCAGGGGATTTGGGCTAGATCATATCTCCAACACATGCCATCTACAGGCTGCTGGGCCTGCCCTTTTTCTCCTGTATGGCTCTCTGATAACAGGGGAGTCCATCCCTCACATCAAGGTCTGGCATGGCATGTGTCCCCCCCGCTCCACACCTGCTGGGTTGCAGCCAACAGCGGAGCTAAAGGTTCTTCTTGGTTTTCTCCTGTATGGCTCTCTGATAACAGGGGAGTCCATCCCTCACGTCAAGGTCTGGCATGGCATGTGTCTCCCCCGCTCCACGCCTGCTGGGTTGCAGCCAACAGCGGAGCTAAAGGTTCTTCTTGGTGGCAAACACAGAGGCCAACCCAATCTTGCCCTTGACTGTGGTAGCAGGCATTTGGTCAACCTCAGTCGTTGTACCTTGTTGTCAATGCAGAGTTTCTCCTGCTTCATCCAGAACAAGTCGCTACTACAGCAAGGCACACACAGATTTACATTAGCAGAGTAACTATTACAGGGTGCAGCAGCATGTTGAAGATGCTGATGGCAATGAGGGACTAGGCAAAGAAATTTCTTACCAGTGGAGTTCTCCCACCCTCTTAATTTGTTCCATATTCTGCTTTATAACACTACCATTGTATTAGAATCGTCCCAGCTTTTGCCTTAGCATTTTCTAGCAGCTGCTGCAAATTTCCATACTCTAACATCTCTTTTACATGTGACAAATCCATACAAGGTGTAGTTTCTTATTAGCAACTGGCTAGTAAATACAGGTATTTTATACACAAAATCACAGCCTCTAATAATAGCTACTTTACAAGCACACATATTCAAGCTGTTACTTTTCAGTTGCCCCCAAGTGATGTTTTGCAATCATTCGTTTTCCTCTATCTCATTCTGCTTGGGGTATTCACAGCCAGCTGCTGTAGCTGAGGAATCGGGTTCCTCCACTCGTCTGTCCAGCTCATGGCAAGGCTTGACAAACTTTGCAGGCAGTTGCCATGGACCTGTAGGCAGGAGGACACAAATATAGCCCCTCCTCCAGGTTTTTTCCTTTCTTTCTCTGCCACCCTGATGCTGCTTAGGTGACGGCTCATAAAACTTGTGGTTGCACTACCCCTCTTGCTTTTTCAGTTAGCAGTTCTTGTTTCAACCAATCTTCTCCTCCATACTAAGCAAGGCTCCTACCATGCACCCACTGTGTTGCAGGTGCTCTTTAGGCTTTGTCTGTGGTGTCTCTACAAACTGCCTCAATACCTCAATAGATTGAGAGGGCTTTTCATGGGTGTTTTTGGTTTTTTTTTCCACTCCTCGGCTCTGGCATCCATCCTGGCCGTTCCGCTGGTGGAGCACTGGGAGCTGAATCGGAGGCACCTTCTTTTGAACATGTGTACCAAGCTCTCATCAGTGCAGCTAAGAGATGAAAAGTGGCAGAGCTTGTTCTATGTAAAAAGGATCTTCTAATGGGTGGCAACGTGTGCTCTGTGCCCTTGGACCCAGTTCCCTCTTCTGTCTCTGCCCCAGGTTCCCTCTTGAAGTTTGTCTGTCCAGTCATCCCCTATGTTTCTGTCACCCCCCCGAGTCTTGTTAACCTCTGTCCACAACCATTTCCAATTGCTCTGTCCATCCAGAGTCAGCAGCCAGCACCCTTGCTATTCACAGCTATCCCTTTCTGTACTCCTTTTAGCCTCTGTCTTTCTGCCACCTCTGTCAGTCTCCATCTGCGGTATCTCATTTTTTCCACTGCCTTCCTGCTACCTGTACTATTCCTGGCAGCATTTCTCACAGAAGAGCAGCCTTCCAGTACCTAAAGGGACTACAAGAAACCTGGAGAGGGACTTTGGACAAGGGCCTGTAGGGGCAGGACACGGGGAATGGCTTTAACCTCCCAGAGGGGAGATTGAGATGAGCTCTTAGGCAGAAGCTCTTCCCTGTGAGGGTGCTGAGGCGCTGGCACAGGGTGCCCAGAGAAGCTGTGGCTGCCCCATCCCTGGCAGCGTTCAAGGCCAGGTTGGACACAGGGGCTTGGAGCAAGCTGCTCTAGTGGAAGGTGTCCCTGCCCATGGCAGGGGGTGAAACTGGATGAGCTTTAAGGTCCCTTCCAACACAAACCATTCTGTGATTCTATGATTCTATGATATGATATTGCCCTAGATCATATTTGTGACATTTTGATCTCCACTTGAGCCCCTAATTTGATTTGTGGCTTAGTGTCATTTAGGTAAAAGAAGGTTGTATGGAGCAGGCATGTTCCCTGTGTGCAGTAAGCAAAAGTATTTCCCATTCAGTATTAAGAGGTAGTGACACGACACATGAAACAGTTATTTGGAGAGAACCTCTGAGAAGAAAGTAGCTGTGCTGGGTGAAGCAAAGGCATGAGTAAGAGGAGGAAACCCAGGCAGGTTGGGTCCATACTGACCACGTGGTATTAATCTTCACCCTTTAGGAGCCAGAGAGCATTCTGTTACAGAAATAGTGATCAGGAAAACCCACCAGGTCAATCTGCAGAGCTTGAATATTTACTTAGAGACTGAGAAAATAGAGCCGAGGTACCCAAATTAATCTGCATAAGAACATGGAATAACTATGTTCTTTTGGGTTTGTTCAAACAACTGTGTAAAGCAATCAAACTCCAGAGACAGGGAGCACAGTTGCAATTGGTGGCACTGTTTTACATTGAAAAGGTTTTAATTTGCATTAGAATTTGCCATTTTCATAACCTTTCCTTGGCTGCTTCTCAACTTTTCCAAACTTTAGCTGTTATGACTAAAGTTCTTTCCACTGAGTGCCTGCCTTATGTTACATTTTTATACATGGAAGTTTCAGCCAGAGTACTGCAGTTGTTTCCAAGCCATGGGTCAAAAATTGAATCATTTTGCTGAAGATAAAAGAATAAAACTGGATGAGTTCTTCTTCCAGAAGCTCCAATTGCATTATGTTGCAAAGGAAGGACTTGGAGTTTGCTGGCAGGTAGCCTTGAGTCAGAAACGATGCCATAAAAATAAGCTCACGTGTACCTAGATATGAAATGTTTGTAGAGCCCCAGTTTATACATGCTCAGGAGCATTTTAGATAGCACTGCAGGTTCCATCCATGCTGAAGCGGTGCCACCAGGGGCTGCTCCTCTGTAGCTGCCTCTAGGTTGAGCACGAAGCCAAGAAGAGAGTACTCAGCCTTTCTCACCTAACTTGACAACTGAAGGAAGTACCTCAACTAAAAACATCGTCTCCTTCTGTTCTTTCTTTATAGCAGCTTCTCTAAGGCAGTCTTGTCGTCTGGAAGAGAGTCTTTGTTGCCAGTAACTACAGAAGACTTCCTGGTGGTCCAGTCTTCTAACCCGGGAGCCCCAGTTATGTTGGAATTCAAATAGGATGAATCCAGTCAGCTCTCCCGCTCTCAGTGCTGCTGTTTAGGCATGGTAGGAGGTATAAAAGGGGAAAGAAGGAATAGTGAGGCTGGAGGAAGCAATAAGGGCATTAGTTTGCAGCATGGGGCAGGAAGGAGGGAGAATATAGTTTCCTTTTCAGTAGT